TTGCATTTCTCTAATGACCGGTGATGAGCATTTTTTCATATGTTTGTTGGCCACACTTCTTTTGAGAAGTGTCTGTTCATATCTTTTACCCATTTTTTGATGGGGTCGTTTGGGGGTTTTTTCTTGTAAATCTGCTTTAGTTTGTTGTAGATTCTGGATATTAGCCCTTTGTCAGATGGGTAGCTTGAGTAATTTTTTCCCATTCTGTTGGTTAGCAGTTCACTCTAATGATTGCTTTTTTTTTTTTTTTTTTTGCTGTGCAGAAGCTCCCATTTGTCTATTTTGGCTTTTGCTGCCATTGCTTTTGGAGTTTTAGTCAGGAAGTCCTTGCCTATGCCTATGTCCTGAATGGTGTTACCTAGGTTTTCTTCTAGGATTTTTACGGTGTTAGGTCTTATGTTTAAATCTTTAATCCATCTACAGTTAATTTTAGTGTGAGGTGTAAGGAAGGGATCCAGTTTCAGCTTTCTGCACATGGCTAGCCAGTTTTGCCAACACCATTTATTAAACAGAGAATCCTTTCCCCACTGCTTGTTTTTGTCAGGTTTGCCAAAGATTAGATGGTTGTAGATGTGTGGCATTACTTCTGAGGCCTCTGTTCTGTTCCATTAGTCCATATCTCTGTTTTGGTACCAGTACCACTGTTTTGATACTGTAGCCTTGCAGTATAGGTTGAAGTCAGGTAGCATGTTGCCTCCAGCTTTGTTCTTTTTGATTCGGATGGTCTTGGCTGTGTGAGCTTTTTTTTTTGTTGTTCCATATGAAGTTTAGGTGTTTTGTTCCACTTCTGTAAAAAAGGTCTATGGTTGCTTGATTGGGGATAGCATTGAATCTATACATTACTTTGGGCAGTATGGCCATTTTCATGATATTGATTCTTCCTAACCATGAGCATGGATATTTTTCCATCTTTTTTTGTCCTCTCTTATTTCCTTGAGCAGTGATTAAAGGGGTTATCACCACCAATTCCACAGAAATACAAACTACCACCAGAGATTACTACAAACAACTCTATGCACATAAACCAATAAATCTTGATGAAATGGATAAATTCCTGGACACTTAGACCCTCCCAAGACTAAACCAGAAAGAAGTTGAATCCCTGAATAGACTAATAACAAGGTCTGAAGTTGAGGCAGCAATTAATAGCCTACCAACCAAAAAAAGTCCAGGTCCAAATAGGTTTATAGCCGAATTCTACCAGACATACAAAGAGGAGCTGGTACCATTCCTTCTGAAACTATTCCAAACAATACAAAAAGAGGGAATCCTCCCTAATGTATTTTATAAGACCAACATCATCCTGATACCAAAACCTGCCAGAAACACAACTAAGAAAGAAAACTTCAGGCCAATATCCATGATGAGCATAGTTTAAAAAATCCTCAATAAAATACTGGCAAACCAAATGCAACAGCACATCAAAAAGCTTATCCATCACGATCAAGTAGGCTTCATCCCTGGGATGCAAGTCTGGTTCAACATATGCAAATCTATAAACATAATCCATCACATAAACAGAACCAAAGACCAAAACCACATGATCTTCTCAATAGATGCAGAGAAGGCCTTTGACAAAATTCAGCAGCCCTTTATGCTAAAAACTCTCAATAAACTAGATGTCAATGGAATATATCTCAAAATTGTAAAAGCTATTTATGACAAACCCACAGCCAATATCATACTGAATGGGCAAAAACTGGAAACATTCCCTTTGAAAACTGGCACCAGACAAGGGTGCCCTCTCTCATCATTCCTATTCAACATAGTATTGGAAGTTCTAGCCAGAGCAATCAGGCAAGGAAAAGAAATAAAGGGTATTCAATTAGGATAAGAGGAAGTCAAATTGTCTCTATTTGCAGATGACATGATTGTATATTTAGAAGACTCCATCGTCTCAGCCCAAAATTTCCTTAAGATGATAAGCAACTCCAGCAAAGTCTCAGGATACAAAATCGATGGGCAAAAATCACATGCATTCCTATACACCAATAACAGGCAAACAGAGAGCCAAATCATGAGTGAACTCCCATTCCCAATTGCCATAAAGAGAATAAAATAACTAGGAATACAACTAACAAAGGAGGTGAAGAACCTCTGCAAGGAGAACTAGCAGGCTGCCTTTAAGAGGAAACCCTCAGAATCTCACAGTTGTCACTCTTTCCCTCAGTTGATTTTCAGTAAGTGTATATTATCACAGTTCATTGTCAGAATTATGTGGAACAGAGAAAAAATTGGAATCTTCTTTAAATGTCCATCAACAGGGAACTGGCCAAATTAACTAGGATTGATCCATAATAAATTTAATTATAAAACCAATGTATTTTTTAAATTTTAAGTAAATATTATATATGTTATTAAATATTATAAATTTAATATTTATTTAAAAATTTATTTAAAATTTTAAAATAAATATTATATATGGTCAATAAATATATATTGAGAGCTAACATGGAAAATATTGAGATATATATATATATTCAAGTGAAAATGTAGGTTGTTAAACAGTATGCATATTATAGCCTCATTTTGGTTTGTGTATGTACTTTAGGTATAGAAAATGTCCTGGAAGCATATATACCAAATTATTGTTGCCAGTTATTTTGGGAGAGTAGAGTTTTGATTGGGAAACTGGGAGGAGAATATACTTCTGTATCAGAGTTTTTTACATAGTTCTTTTGTAATTAAAAACTAAGAAAAATGACATTGTAAAATATTTTTATCTAAAAATGCTTATTTGCTTTCTATTAAGAAAAGGAGACTTCCAGTTTTAAAACAGGGGTGTAGAATCAAGCTGGTTTTACTCCCATGACCTTGTAGAAAATAAAAAATAAAGCGCTGAGATTTTCACTAGCAACACCCAAAATTCAAACATGAGGATCAGATAGGTCCCAGGACCACAGAGAAGTGAAAATATTCCAAGCAAATGGTAGGAAAATCAGATTTTCACATCTGTTACATCCCACCCCACAATCTTCATGGTAACAAGTTAATGGAAAATCTTCTCTCATTCACAGTTTCTTCACTGGAAAAAGTGAAATTGAGGTGATCAACTAGCTTTTCCACCTTCTTAGGGGCTCCCTTGCAGGAGATCTGTCCTTCCCTTAATGCACAGGAAGCATTGCAATTGCCTAAAGGGAAAAATAGCCCTGAGGATGGGCATAGGCAAATGTGGAAGGTAGGACTGCCATCTCCAGCCATGGAAACTGCTCTGTAACTCAGCCAAAGGAGATTCCAAATCAGTGTGGCTGTTCAGCAGCATCATGCTTAGGAGGCCGATTTCACAGATTCCTTGGGCACAAATCTCTAGCCAGTTTTTCCACACTATTGGGTAATCCCTTTGGGACCTCCCCCATTTGGAACAGGCAGCACTATGACCATTTACTGGAGCAGAGGTGAACCCGGGCTTCAGGTGCTACCTAGAACCAAAAAGGAGGCAGCAACCTAGAGGTAAAACGTTGCTAAGCAAATATAGCCAATAAAAAAACAAACCAGAGAGAGAAAGCTAGAATAAATAACTAATTCTTTGATGCAAAGATATAAACATATACTAACAAGAGACAACAGCTGACAGGGAACCATGACCTCCCAAAAGGATAAAGCAACAATCCAGTGACTAACTCTAACAAAGTGGCTATTTGTGTGCTCTTTGATCAAGAATTAAAAATAGCAGTTTAAAGAAAACTTAGTGATCTCCAAGGTAACACAGAAAAGCAAGTCAAAGGTTTATCAGAGAAATTTAACAAGAAGGTCAAAATAATTTTTAAAAATGAAACAGAAACTTTAGAACTGAGAAATACATTTCATGAAGTGAAGAACTTATTAGAGGCTCTCAACAGAAAAATGGGCCAAGCAGAGGAAAAATAAGTGAGCTCAAAGACTGGCTATATGAAAATACACAGTCAGAGGAGGAAAAAAAAAGGAATGAAGATTGCCTACAAAATATAGAAAATTATCTCAAAAGACCAAATCTAAGAATTATTGGTGTTCAAGAAGGAGCCAAGGAAGAGCAAGGGGTATAAAGCTTATTCAAAAAACTAATAGCAGAAAACTTCCTCAAACTTGAGATATATACAAGTCCAAGAAACTCTGAGAACACCAGAATCAACCCAAATAAGACCACACCACGGCACATAATAACCAAACTCTCAAAGTTCAGAAACAGAGAGGATGCTACAGGCATCAAGAAAAAAAAAAGTGAAATAAATAAAGGAACTCCAATTCATCTTTTAACAGACTTCTAAGTAGGCCAGGAGGTAGTGGAGTGAGACTTTCAAAGTGCTCAAAGAAAAAAAATCTGCCATCCAAGAGTACTTCTTCAGCTATTAAGGAAAGCTAGTCCTTCCCAGACAAATAAAAGCTGAGAAACTTCATGACCACCAGACTCTTCTTAAAAGAAATGCTAAAGGTAGTTCTTCAATCTGAAAGAAAAAAAAATTAAAAACCACTAACATCCAAAAGAAAAGCTTTTCAATGTTAAAAAAAAAAAACCTACTGGTAAAATTAAAATTAAGTACACAAATAAACCCATAATACTCTATTCTTGTAATTATGGCATGCAATTCACTTATAACTCTAACAGGAAGCCTAAAAGATGAATCTGTCAAGAACAGTTTCATCCCAAAACCATCCCCCACTCCCCAATCCATGGAAGAGGTAGGTAATATAAAAAGTTGTAAATTGGCCGGGCGCAGTGGCTCAAGCCTGTAATCCCAGCACTTTGGGAGGCCGAGGCGGGTGGATCACGAGGTCAAGAGATCGAGACCATCCTGGTCAATATGGTGAAACCCCGTCTCTACTAAAAATACAAAAAATTAGCTGGGCATGGTGGTGCGTGCCTGTAATCCCAGCTACTCAGGAGGCTGAGGCAGGAGAATTGCCTGAACCCAGGAGGCGGAGGTTGCGGTGAGCCGAGATCGCGCCATTGCACTCCAGCCTGGGTAACATGAGTGAAACTCCGTCTCAAAAAAAAAAAAAAAAAAAAAAAAAAAAGTTGTAAATTGAGACAACCATCCCCCTCTCCCCAATGTGTGCTAGGGATCTAGGTTGCACACTCCTTATGAGAATCTAATTAATGCATGATGATATGAGGTGGAACAGTATCATCCCCAAACCATCCCCCACTCCCCAATCTGTGGAAGAAATAGGTAATATAATAAGTTGTAAATTGAGACAACCATCCCTTCCTCCATTCCTGTTAAGAGATAGGTAATATAAAAAGTTGTAAACTGAAACAACTAAAAAGTCAACATGTGGGGGATATAAAGTATAGAATTTTTTTAGGTTTTTTTTTTTGTCTTTGTTTTTATTCTTCTATTTGTGATCTAAGATAAGTTATTACGTTCAAATAACTTACTATCTATATGATGTTTTCATAAGCCTCATGGTAATCACAGTATAAAAACCTATGGTAGAATCACTAAAAATAAAAAGCAACAAATTAAAACACACTAACAGAGAAAATCACATAACCACAAAGGGAAATGGTAGCAAGGGAAGGATCTTAAAACAGCCAGAAAGCAGAAAATAAAATGGCAGTACCAAGTTCTTGTTATCAGTAATAACACTAAATGCAAAGGGTCTCAATTCTTTAATTAAAAGGCATAGAGTGTCTGAATGGATAAAGAAACAAAATTCAACTATATGCTGCCTTCAAGAAACCCATCTTGCCTACAAAAGATACACATAGACTGAAAGTGAAGGGGGAAGAAAAGATATTCCATGCAACTGGAATCCAGAAAAGGACAGGAGTAGCTATACTTATATCAGGTAAAATAGACTACAAATCTATGATTGTTAAAAAGAGACAAATAAGCTACTATATAATGATAAAGGGGTGAGATTCAGTAAGAGGATTTTAAAGTTATAAACATCTATGCATCTAATGCCAGAGTTCCCAAGTAAATAAAGCAAACACTGATAGATCTAAAGGGAGAGGTAGACTACAATCCAATAATAGTAAGAGTCTTTAACACTCCACTTTTAGTAGTGGACAGGTCATTCAGACAGGAAATCAACAAAGAAATAACAGCATTAACCTACACACTAGATCTAATAGGCCTAACCGATATTTACAGGACATTTCACCCAATTGTGCTGATATGGTTTGGCTGTGTCCCTACCCAAATCTCACCTTAAATTGTAGCTCCCATAATTCCCATATGTCATGAGAAGGACCTGGTGGGAGGTAATTGGATCATGGGGGCAGGTGTTTGCTGTGCTATTCTTATGATAGTGAATAAGTCTCACATAGTGTAAGGCGGAATTCCCCTATCCACACTCTCTCTTGCCTGCCACCAAGCAAGATGTGCCTTTGTTGCTCCTTCACCTTCCACCATGATTGTGAGGCCTCCCCAGTGATGTGAAACTGTGAGTCCATTAAACCTATTTTTCTTTACAAATTACCCAGTCACAGGTATGTCTTTATTAGCAATGTGAGAACAGACTAATACATGCACAGAATAAACATTATTTTAATCAGCATGTGGAATATTCTCCAGAGTATCTTAGGCCACAAAACAAGTCTGAACAAGTTCAAAGAATTAGAAATCATATCAAGTATCTTTGCTGCCCACAATGGAATAAAACTAAATTAATAATAAGAGTAACCTTGGAAAATATGCAGACACAGACATTAAACAACATGCTCCTGAACAACCAGTGAGTCAATAAAGAAAATAAGAAGAAAATTTAAAAAAATTTTGAAATACATTAAAATGGAAATATAATATACCAAAATCTATGAGATATGATAACAGCAGTGCTAACAGAGAGTTTATAGCAATAAACACCTATGTTTTGAAGTAAAAAGACCTCAAGTAGCCTAATGAACCTCAAGGAAAAACAAGAATAAACCAAACGCCAAATTGGAAATAAATAATAAACACTATAGCAGAAATAAATGAAACTGAGACCAAAAAAGTATGGATCAGGAAAACAAAAAGTTGTTTTTTTGAAAAGATAAAACAAAATTGACATTTAGCTAGACTAAGGAAAAAAGAGAGAAAACTCAAATAATAAAATCAGAAATGAAAAGAGAGACATGACAACTGAGACCTCAGAAATACAAAGAATTATAGAGTCTATTATGAACAACTCTATGCCAGCAAACTGGAAAATCTGAAAAAACATAGATACATTCTCGGACCTAAACAATCTACCAAGATGGAAACATGCAGATATAAAAAACTTCAACAAATCATTAATGAGTAATGAGATTGAAGCCATAACAAAAACTCTCCTATCAAAGAAAAGCCCAGGACCTAATGGTTTCCCTGCTGTCGTATAACATACATTTAGAGAAAAATTAATACCAGTTTTACTCAAACTGTTCAAAAAAATGGAAGAGGAGGGAATACTTCCACACCTATTCTAGGAGGCCAGCATTCCTGGTAGCAAAACCAGACAAGGACACAAAAAAGAGAATTACAGGCAAATGTCCCTTATGAACATAGACGCAAAAATCCTCAACAAAATATAAGCAAATCTAATTCAACAACACATCAAAAACATTATTCACCATGACCAAATGCGATTTATCCCAGGGATACAAGGAAGGTTCAACATACACAAATCAATAACATTATCTTATACCTAGAAAATCCTGAAGACTTCACCAAAAAAGCATTTGATAAAATTTAATATTCCTTTATGACAAAAATCCTCATCAGACTGGAGATAGAAGGACCATACATCGAAATAACAAATGCCATGCATGAGAAACCCACAGCTAATATTGCACTGAATAGGGAAAAAGTAAAAGCCTTTCCTCTAAGGAATGGAACAAGGTAACAATGCCCACTTTCACCAGTTTTATTTTACATAACACTGGAGGCTCTGGCCAGAGTAATTTATTCAGGGAAAGAAATAAAGGTCACCAAAATTCAAATTAGTATAGCCACTATGGAGAACAGTATGAAGTTTCCTCAAAAAACTAAAAATACAACTACTATATGATTCAGCAATTCAACTACTGAGTATGTATCCAAAAGAAGGGAAATGAATGTATCTAAAAGACATCTACACTCTCATGTTTATTATAACACTATTCACAATAGTCAAAATATGGCATCAACCTAAGTGCCCATCAGTGGATAAATAAAGAAAATGTGTTATTTATATGCTATGGAATACTATTCAGCCATAAGAAAGAATAAAATCCTGCCATTTGCAGCAACATGGATGGAGCTGAAGACCATTACATTGTGTGAAGTAAGTCAGGCACAGAAAGACAAAGATTGCATGTTCTCATTTATATGTGGGAGCTTAAAAAGTGAATCTTATGAAGATAGAGAGTAGATTGGTGGTTACCAGAGGCTGGAAAAGGTAGGAGAAGGGCAGGTGAAGGGAAAGAATATGTATACATATCATATATATATATATATATATATATATATATATGTGTGTGTGTGTGTGTGTGTGTGTGTGTGTGTGTGTGTGTGTGTTTATATTTTTATATATGGTTATTACCACTTAACTGTATACTTAAAATAGTAAATTTTATATGTACGTTTTACCTTATTTTTTTTTAAGAAGGATAAAGTTACTTCCTTAAAGTCACATGGCTAGTTAATGGCGTGCTCAAGATTAGAGCTCAGATGTGTGTCTTCAGCACACCATTCTCTTTCAGAATAGTCCAGGATAAGAAATTAGGAAGTTCTTCTGGAGCATAAGGTCATGCAAGAATCATTGATTCAATTATCAAAAGAGGTCTCAGAATCACCTATTTGGGAGACACTGAGTAATGGGCACTGGTCTAGAATGGTTTGAACAGGAGATGAGAGCCTTGAGGAGATACAGGTGCATTGATCAAGTGACTCTGGGAGTACCTTTTATGATTCTTCTATGATTCAACAGAGTAAGAAAATACCATTTTGTTGATAGTTTCAAATTAGGTATCAAATTTTCAAAGCAGTAGGGAGAAAAAAAAGGGATCCTAGAAACGACCATCTAGTAATTCAATCCCTGTTAATATAGTGGAACAAATATTAAGAGGAAAAAAATACTATCCAGGATAATGGAATTATGAGCAATAAGCATTATGGGTTTTAAAAGAACAAATCATGCCAGACAAAGTTGATTGCTTTTTTGATTAGTAGACTAAGGGAATAGAGTAGATGTAATATATCTTGATTTCAGCAAAAGGTTTGATAGTGTCTCATGAAATTTTACTCAGGAAATTAATTGAAAATGGCCTAGAGATGAGCACTGTTGCGTGAACTTCAGCACAGTGGCAGGACAGCAGAAGGGAATGAGAAACAGCCATGCATCAGAGTGGGGAGACGTGGGGCAGGGAATTTCAGGTCAGGGGTCAGTTCTATTTAATTATTTCATTACTTCTCAGAAAGAAGAGGAGGCAGCTCTTACGTGAGTAAAATTCATAGTGTATCTTATCTGTGTGCTTTAATGAAAAAAAAAAATCATTTGAAAGCTAGCAAGTCTACGTAGGTTCCAATCCCAGGCTTAACCTCATTCTGGGTCCCAGGGGAAGCCCTGTTGAAGCAGACAATATCAAGTAGGCCAGGAATTAACTTCAGCTCTAATTCTGAATGATGAGGTGGGTGAAATGGTCTTAGCCAAGAGCTCTGCCTATTCTTGCCACCACGCCCTTGTCAGCATGCCCTATCCTGCTTAGACCCCTTTCAACCTCAACACCTGGGAGTCCACCATCACTCAGAACCTAGCACTTAATGCTATGATAAATTATTTAGTACCTACTATGGTGCCGGTCATGGCAGACATAAAGGATAAAGGAAGTCATAAATACATAAGACATAAAGGATAGTTCATGGTTTGGAGCAGGTAACAGACACATTAAACATGCTGTGATTATTGCTGTAATCAAGTTTAAACAATACTCTTGAAAAAAAAATAGAGTAGGCTCAGAGTAACATCAGGTAGTGAAAAGGGGGAGGTTAGGAAGATCAGGGTTGTGGAAGCCAGCCTCAAAGAGGAGCGGAGGCTAGGCATGGTGGTTTGCACCTGTAATCCCAACACTTTGGTAGGCCAAAGTGGGTGGATTGCTTGAGTCCAGGAGTTTGAGATCAACCTGGGCAACATGGAAAAACCCTCTCTCTACAAAAAATACAAAAATTAGCCAGGCAGCATAATGTCACATGTTTCTGGTACCAGTTACATGGAGAGTGGAGGAGGGAGGACAACTTGAGCCCAGGAGGTCAAGGCTGCAGTGAGCTATGATGGGGCCACTGCACTCTAGTTTGGGTGACACAGTGAGACCAGGTATCAAAAAAAAAAAAAGGTTTATTTCACCAGGTGTTCAATGAAAGGCTAGATTTTTATATGGGCTGGGAAAGTAAAGGGCAGTATAGCCAGAGGATAGAGACTGGTGGGCCGCCTAGGACAAGCTCTGAACCTCCGTAAGTGATCTGGAAGACTACAATAATAATCGTATCAGCCCTAAGTGTTGTCATGAGGATGAAGTGAAAGGCTGTCTGTATAGAACGTAGCACTGTGCTGAGCAGAGTAAAGGCTCAGTAGCTAGAAGCCATTATACTGTCACTGCTGATGGTGAGACCTGGGGCAAGGTGGGGTGGAGCTGTGGTGTAGTATGAGATGGAAAGAGAGATTTAGAGGCAGCTTATGAAGAGGACCATGAAAGTCATATTAAGAAATCCAGGATTTATTGGGCAAACAAGAGAAGGATGTAAATAGAGGGGTCGCTTGACCAGCCCTTCTTTTGCCAGGATTGCTCTGACAGTGATGGAGGAAGAGTATGAGGAAAGCGTAGCCCCAAGAAGACCAGGTAAGGGGCCACTCAAGTAGATTTAGACATATTAAACTTGCAGTGATTATTGCTGTAATCAAGTTTAAACAATATTCTATGAAAAACAATAGAGTAGGCTCAGAGTAACATCAGGTAGGGAAAAGAGGGAGGTTAGGAGGGTCAGGGGTTGTGGAAGCCAGCCTCAAAGAGGAGCGGAGAGTAGGCGTGTTGGTTCACGCCTGTAATCCCAACACTTTGGGAGGCTGAGGTGGGCGTACTGCTTGAGTCTGGGATAAATACCCAAAGCTACTTCCAAATGGAA